TGAGCCCGCGGCTGGAAGACCCTGTCTGTCCCCGGACGAGTCGGACGGGTGCAGGGCGCCAGGCGCCCGGCTGGAAACGCGCTCACGTGCGTTCAAACGTGGGTTTGAAAACTAGCTCTGATATACAAGACTTGGTTTTCCAGAATATCCGAAAGATTAAGGAGGACTCAGCTTTCTAGCTACTGGTAAGATGGTAACAGCATCTGTGGGACGAAAAACAAAAAGATAAAAGGAAGGACCTAAGGGCACACTTAAAATGGTTATACAGTTAGGAATGTGTTTGGGTGCAAGTAAGAAAGTCTTCCAATGGTTTACACAAGTAAGGGTCTCCCTGTTAGAGAACAGCAGGGCCATGACTTTTGTGATCCTCTGGACATTTCTCTCATGGTGTCACGGGGCAGTATTAGCCTTCACATCCCTGTTCAGAAAGATCGGGATTTTTTTTCCCCCAGGAAAGTAAAAGCTTTCTCAACTTGATTCCTTAGCCTCCCAACTCAACCGACTCCCACATATATCTCATTGCTTAGAAGTGTAATTTGAGCACCCGTAGCTGCAAAGATTTTTAAGTTTTTCCAAACTGTAGCACAGGCTACAAGGGAGAAAAGCCCTGAAGATGAGTATTGGGTCAGACAAGTAGCAGACTTGGTATTTGAAGTATTCCTCGTTAAGATCTACAACACTGAGGTCTGGCCTGATGGGCTGATATTTCGAGGATTTCAAAGAAGCCTATCTTTTTGCTATATTGTTTTCTTAACTGGTCAAAAACCAGGTTGAACATTTATTCTCAATTTTTTTTTTTTTTTTTTTTGTACCAGGGATCAAACTCAGGACCTTGTGCTTGCAAGGCAGCCGGTGGTGCCATTGAGCTAAATCCTCTGGCTCTTATCTTCAAAATTCATACTTACATGCTATGTCTTCTGGTCCTTGTGCTTTCAAGGCAGTTGTCAGAGCCACTGAGCTAATTCCCCGGCCCATTTCTAGGTTCTCATCCCTTTGAAATGAGACTGTACCAACAAGGAGGAAGGGACATCACAGAGAAGGACAACCTTGGTCAGTGTACCCTTCTGCAGGGTTAGCTTGAGGGTCCACTTAAATAAAACACCTTCATCCCCTTACAGAGCTTGCCCCTCGGCTTGGAAAACCTTCAACAGCCCATGTTAAGAAGATTGTGAATCAATTTTTTCTAACAATTACACAAATTTTGGGGGGAGCTTATAGCACCTCTGTTTGATATGAATGCCAAATTAGGTAGATGACACTTTCAAGCATTTCAGTCAACAAGGTATTGGGCCAAGGGTTTAGCTCAGTGGTTCCCGTGCCTGCCTCGCAAACAAAAGGACCCAAGTACCTAAGAAAAAAAAAGATATCTTTCAGTTAAGTGTTAATGTCCGTGAAACAGTATCTTGCTAAGTTTGCATTTTTAAGTTTGCCATGATTCTAGAACAGAAAGCTAAAAATGTAAAAAAAAAATTTTTTCTTGAAAAACTGAAGATCAGCTATACATTTTCTAAAACTAAGTATTTAACCATTTCTACTATTATAAATTAAAACAATTTAATATATTAAGATCTAAGATAACGTTGGCCAAATGTTGTTAAAATAAACTCAATTTGCCATTGTACCCAGAATTCCTCTGTAAAGACCTCAACCTAGCAGTACCAAAGGAAAGCCTAGGTAAGACATCCCTTTTTGTAACTCTCAGCCAAGTGCCGCCATTTGCAGCAGCCGTTCTCCACCAGTCACAGGCTGTTAACTGCTCAGACCAGTACAAGATGAGGCCAATGCCAAGCTGTACCAAACATGAGCCCCGTGGAGAAACAGCAGACTGCAGCACAAGCCCCAAGAAAAGCACAGTATGGTAAGCTTCCAATACAGATGGGGTTTTACTCTGAAAGTGACCCCTTCTGCATGGCAGGCTAGAGTTAGAGAAGAAATGCACTGTAATGTCCTCCATACTTGGGAGAGATACACAGTAATCAGAAGCTATTTTGGGAAGAGGGTTAATACTCAACACTGAGCTACTCTAGTAATTAAGTCACAGAACAACTACACTTCAGGTTTATTGGGGTCACCCTACCACAGTGACTGGATGGAGATAGCCACAAGAGAGTTTCAAAGAAGGTGCACGCTAGTTCAAGCACTGGTGTGCTCAGGTGGTCCTGCACTGTGGTAAGAAGCCAGGCTGGTCGTGGGTTTTCTGAGGGGTCTGCAGGGTACTGGCATTAAGTCTATAGACTGTTTTGCCCCACACACACACACACACCCCTACGTCTACAACAGAGCTCAGAATCCATTTGCTTTTCCCATCTGCCAGCGAGATCAGGAAAATGCACCCGACTGGGACAGTTGACAGTTGCCACTTCCTGTGTGTACAGACAAAAGAGGGGCCTCTGGAACAAAAACACATTATAAACTCACAGAACATAAAGCTCCTCAGAGACATTGATGACTTTAGGCACAAAGAAGGGCACAAACACTGAGCCACCTGTAAATAGAGCCCTAAAACAGACAAGCCACCACTGACTGATCGCACCCAGCAGGAAAGGTGGGGCAGGAGTCAGGATTCATAAGTTTAAAAGGGTAGGGAAACAAAACAGGCCCTATTTATGACTCACCATCACCCCTCCAAAAAAATCTGCATTCCAATGCCACAGGCCCTGGAAAAAAAAATCACTCCCCAAACATGGAAGAATTTTTTGGACTTTTTGTTGTTTTTTTCTTTTTCTCTATCTTTTGTTCTTTGTTTCTATTTTTCATTTAATTTTACTCAGTTGTATTAGCCTTCTTTAATTCTTTAAATACTTTCATTTTTTATCTTCCTTTTCTTTTTCAAATTTTACTTCATTTTCCCTCTCCCACCTGTTTTTTTAAACCAGGGATTGAACGACCTTGGATTTGTGAGGCAGGCATGGTGCCATTAAGCTAAATCCCTGACCCTCCTCCATTTTTATTATTACTATCAAGCTTTATTAATTCTTGGCTATTCAGTTGACTATGTGGTATTATTGCTTAATTTCCTTCTATTGTTAATGCTGGTATAGTTGTTGCCTTTAGTAGATATTTACTGTATGCCAATATCTAGTTTGTACTTGCATTATTATTGTACAGCTTTTTCTGTTTTAAGGATGGTATAGTTGAACCTATTATTGGTTCTTACAGTATGTCAAAGTCCAGTTAGTCTTTGACTGTATTATTGCTGATCTTTTCCTTTCTTTTCTTTTTGTTCTTTTCTATTATTAATGGTTTAATAAGTTTTAGTTTGCATTTGTGTCATCAGTATTAATGTAGTTTGTTTTCTCCTCTGAGTGGTGTTGAGGATCCAGCCCCCAAAAGAAGGCTGGACACTAAGAAGACGCTTAAATTTTGCACTGAATAGTTTGAAGACGGGGTGTGAACCCCAAAACATAACCAAACCAAAGGATGCATCACAATAGGAGACAGACACTAACTAAAGAGATTTCCATAGTAGCAAGAGTTTCTCTGCCCTACCTGTTCTTCAACCTGCAGTGCAAAAACAACAGAAACAGGAAGAATCAAGCAACAAGATGCCCCCAAAACTCCTTAACTCCCAGACAGACACTGAAGAAGAGGAAGCTGTAGGCAGACAGCTCAAAACCCAAATGGTCAAAGGTGAACAGATACAAGAAACATATAAGCAAATGCACATGATTTGTTTGTTTGTTTCTTTGTTTTTGTGTTTTTTGAGACGGGGTCTCACTATGTAGTTCAGACTGCCCTAGAACTCACTATGTAGCCTATGCTGGTCTCAGACTCACAGTGATCCTCTTGCCTCAGCCTCCCAAGTGCCACCACAACCAGCTAAATGCACATGATTTTTAAAGAGCTCAAAAATGGTTTAATTAAAATAAAGGATTTTACTAATAAAATGTTAACAGGCTTTAAGAACCAAAACAATAAAAGATGTGACTGACCACTTTGAAAAAAACTGGAAAGTATGAAAAGAAAGCAAGCAGAGATAGTGAATATAAAAAAATTCAATGGAAACATGAGTAGCAAATGACCAATGTGAGGACAGAGTGTCAGAAACAGAAGATGAGGTAGCTGTAATAGACATAAATTCAATGGTGACCATGCACACTGGATCCAACGTTACTGGTTGACTAAAGAAAAAAAA